GTTAAAAGCAACAAGGACTGAGTAGAATAGAACGATCTGCATGTACTGTACCTGGTCAGGGCGTCCATCGGTTAGAAGGTAGATTGCGTGACATTGAGGATCAGCCAGAGCCAGTTTAAGAGCTGCCAGAGTGTTTGTGGAGCCACCGGTACTAAGGCCTTTCACCCACTGCCACGCATTATCCAGATTCTAAAAAAAAGCACAAATTAAGATAAGAAAATTTTCCACCTATCACCTCTAGGGGAAACTCGAAAACGTTTTTACGGGAAAGCTCCCCCAACCCCGAGGTCCAAACCCTTACTCTTTTATATGCATATATATAAAGCTAACCCTTTTATATACCCTCTAGGAAATACCGGTAGTGCTCTTTTTACATACTTACAGAACGCTTTTACCGACCCTAAAATAGTCCTGCAGAAATCTTTACGCTTTGGAGATAACTATGGTAAATAAAATGACAATCAACGTTTGATTTCAAACAAGCTGTTTCTCTCTTACATGTGTGTTGCAGTCCACCAGTCGATCTCTCCAGGCTTGAACTCTGGTATCAAATTTGGCAAGATTAAACTTCACCTTGTGACGCAATTGCTCCTAAAGATGGTGAAAGACGGATCTGTTACCAATGAGATGTGGGAGAATAGAAGATCGACAGAAAGAAAACCTTGTGCAAGGGAACTGTGCAGCAAAGCACAGACATGTACTAGGTTACCCACACACAGTGTATATCTGATTATTCACTCAGTGCAATGAGTAAGAAGTGTAAGAAAACGTAGAAACAGTGGAACTCTGTTAATTCAGTCACTAACAGGCCACAAAAATCTGGCTGTATAAACAGGGTCCGTATTAAAATAAGAAAATGACTGACTGAGCTTTTGTTCGGGCCAGAATAAAATGGCCATAATAACGAGGTGGCAATATTAGGGGGGTGGCAATAAGAAGGGTTCCACTGTATCTAATTAAGAAACCCCGCCCATTTCCTTAACTCTGCCAGTTAAAATGCTTAAATTAACAGAAGCTTGATGCCTTGGAAGAATGCAATACAGAATTTATGAGTGACGTGCTGTTAAATTATTATGCAATACTCCTATTATTCCTTAGGAATCTCAATTTTGTTAAAGTTGTTTTGACAAACCTGCATCAGTCTGTACAGTTTGTCTTTCACAAGAAACAATCTTGATGCCATGGATGCTGAAGTGTCGATCAGCACAGCCACCTAGGTAAGAAAAAAAAAGTTACTCAGTGCATGTATGATACTCCACTAAGATACACATAACAACAAAGGATATCTACATTTTATCTTAATGATACACCTGTACAAACCTGATCTTCAATAATTGTACCAAACAGTTCTCTACTGCCTTGCTGTAGCCATTCCANTCTTACATGTGTGTTGCAGTCCACCAGTCGATCTCTCCAGGCTTGAACTCTGGTATCAAATTTGGCAAGATTAAACTTCACCTTGTGACGCAATTGCTCCTAAAGATGGTGAAAGACGGATCTGTTACCAATGAGATGTGGGAGAATAGAAGATCGACAGAAAGAAAACCTTGTGCAAGGGAACTGTGCAGCAAAGCACAGACATGTACTAGGTTACCCACACACAGTGTATATCTGATTATTCACTCAGTGCAATGAGTAAGAAGTGTAAGAAAACGTAGAAACAGTGGAACTCTGTTAATTCAGTCACTAACAGGCCACAAAAATCTGGCTGTATAAACAGGGTCCGTATTAAAATAAGAAAATGACTGACTGAGCTTTTGTTCGGGCCAGAATAAAATGGCCATAATAACGAGGTGGCAATATTAGGGGGGTGGCAATAAGAAGGGTTCCACTGTATCTAATTAAGAAACCCCGCCCATTTCCTTAACTCTGCCAGTTAAAATGCTTAAATTAACAGAAGCTTGGTGCCTTGGAAGAATGCAATACAGAATTTATGAGTGACGTGCTGTTAAATTATTGTGCAATACTTCTATTATTCCTTAGGAATCTCAATTTTGTTAAAGTTGTTTTAACAAACCTGCATCAGTCTGTACAGTTTGTCTTTCACAAGAAACAATCTTGACGCCATGGATGCTGAAGTGTCGATCAGCACAGCCACCTAGGTAAGAAAAAAAAAAGTTACTCAGTGCATGTATGATACTTCACTAAGATACACATAACAACAAAGGATATCTACATTTTATCTTAATGATACACCTGTACAAACCTGATCTTCAATAATTGTACCAAACAGTTCTCTACTGCCTTGCTGTAGCCATTCCATTCTGAAGAACAAAGAAAAGAAAACATCAGATAAATGTAGGTTTAGTTACTGGCTAGCTACACGAGATACAAAATTTATACATCCCTTACCTTTTTCTATATGAGTCCAAAGCTGACAAAACTCTCTGTTCATAATTTCTGTGTATTGGTCCGCTGACATGAACATGCATAATGGAACCGTCCTTCCACCGCACATGTGCAAACTTGTCACAGTAACGTGCATTGACCAACTTAGGACGTACAATCTGTAAAAAAAGAATTATAGAAATTTGTTCAATTTATGTCAACCACAATACTTACAGTGTCTTAATGGCTGGCCTGCAAAGTAAGCTCAATTCTGAATGGCTGTTTGCTTATGACAATGTAGAGGAGGTCCCAAGACAACATGGAGGAGGACAGCAGAGAAGGAGAGAGAATGAGCTGCATGGAGGACCTGGAGTGATGTGTGCATTATAGCAGCCAACAGAGCTGGCTGGTGACAGAGTGTACAGGGCTTATGTACTACTTAGTGTGAAAAGAATACGTGAAGGTGATGGTATTAATATTTTGAAAACAAAGTTGATGCAAACCCTTTCATATTTGAAGTTCCACCATGGCTGAGTAACGGCTCAGTAGTTCAAAGGGTGTACAAAGCTGAGTAAACATGTATCTAGTTGACACTGGACATCAATTTACATGTATCAGAGAGATTGAATGCATTATCCATCCTTTGAATGACTAGAGCCAAGTATTGGTACAAAACAGTGTCAGAAATAGGACAGTTTCAGCACAAGTGTTCTGACGATCAGAAACTGAATAAAAAGATTCCATAGAATCAGAAAAATTTTGAGACCTAAGCTGCATTCATACATTTATGTGATCAAAGGTTAAGCAAAAGAACTTGTCTACTCACAGCATCAGTGCTGTCTGAAGCAGCTGGAGCCATCTGAATGTCTACAACTCCGTCACAATGTTTAAAGGCCAATGTCTGTAGCAAGTCATAGAAAACCAGTTTTTTGGCCTTAAGACCATGACGCTGCAAAAATAAAAGTTAACATTACATTGAAGAAGAAAAATATCAGTATTTTTGGCAACATAAGGCAGAAAACAATAACATAAATACCAACCGATATCCTTTCGTGGTTTGAAAATTGAGGTGCATGTGAAAATTATCTACATTCAGAAAATCTAATGTGTGTTAAAGTCCATCCGTCCATCCATCCATCCGTCAGTCAGTCAGTCAGTCAGTCAGTCAAACAGTATGAATTTATCTGCACAGTACCTTTAGCCAATCTCTTGAACTCATGTACATTTCACTCTTTCCCTTTGTATGACCTGAACGGGTGACCCCTTCTTGACCATTTTGTGGAAGAGAATTCGGAGAAGTAGATACTGAAACAACATTGAATCGCATCCAGAATAAGAAACTCAATAGCAGTTGGCACAATATTTGCATACCTACATATATCGGGAAATCACTCACTCTGAGTTTAAATTTTAAACCTACATTTATTATGCATTCTCCTTCCCCAGACCAAGACGAGAGAAAGTGATGAGAAACGAAACAGACAGGTATATTTTCCCTGTCTCTGTAGAAATGTTAACAGTTAGGGTTGGACATATTGTGCAGACATCAAGCAACAGTTTTCCTTGTCTGACCATCCAGTTTTAGAAAAAAAGTTCCATTGCAGCCCTGATGAGATTCTCTCCTACAGGTTGTATGTGTGCAGGAAGAGGCTTGTCCCTGTTTCACATCCTCACAACATATCCCATAGTGTGTGCCGATTGTAAATATGGCATAAACGCGTCTTCAAACATTACGGAAAAATGTGTAAAAAATGTACCTGGTGTCTCTTTAGGATCCTTTATTTCACACAACAGTGCCTGAATCTCAGCCAGGGTGTTTCTTGCTTCATCCAGCTCCTCCCACAAGGTGATCACATCCTCCCTGACACCCACACCAAGCTTTAACGAGGGCATGCCATCACCCCTGCCACGCCCTTGAGGTGAACTGGTGCCATCGACTTCTATGGACTGGGTAAAGCTATTGAAGCTGTCTTCGTATTCATTAGGAATTGAATAAGCATGGAACCTGAAATTGCAAACAATTACACCAGCTTGTTGAACAGTCATTAAAAAGTAATTTGCATACCCTGCTAAGTGAAGTTCAACCTTTTTATTTTTCAGCTTGATTTTGCACCCTATTCTAGACTAGACACCAAAAACCCTGGAATACGTTACTTAAATGTTTTGAATAAAAGACTCAAAATAGCAATATACCTGTGCCGAAGCCGGATTAGGATTCAGCTGATTCAGTAACTTACCTTCCGTTTGTTATTCTGGAAATGTCCTTCAAGAAGGTGATGGTTGCAGGGCTATTGCAGTTCAGTGAAACAACATGAATTGGTACACGGCTTCCATGTACCTGCAAAATGAAAATAGTGGTACTCAAAGAATGTGTTGAAAATAGTTCAGCTTCACATTCTAAGCCTTCCGCTGCAGCTGACCTTTTTCGGACAAAAACCGAACAATAAATAAACATGACGCTCAGTATTTCGATTAGTAAAATTGTTCCTTTGGCTAGTTACCTTTCTCTTCAGCATTTCCTGGGATCCACTTGAAGCATTTCCCTCAGTAAACAGATAAACTGCTTCGATCTACCAACAAAAAGACCCAGTCAAATGTGTTTACACAGCAAGCAGACTAAAGATATGAATCACAGTACTGTATATGCTAAACAAAAAATGTGATAGAGTAGGTGAAGTTTTTTTCAGGGTTTAACCTTTATTCATTAACAAGCACAAGCAACAATTATACAGATCTAATGGAGTTACTATACCAAGAACTCTGCTATACCCCACCTCCTTCCATTGTTGAAAACTACTGTAAGTAAACATGGCCTATCAGAGCACTACTGTAAATTTACCAGAGTATGGAAGACTAAAGAAGCAAGAAAGGGTCCTCCTGCTAAGATTACTTACATGTTGATCAGCCAATGCCTTGAGTATTCCTTCCACCGTACATGTTTCAGAGCGAGGAACTGTTGTCTTCAGATCCCAGATCCAGTTGAGTGCTCCTTCCATGCTGTCAAGTGTGACATTTACAGCATGCTCTTGCCAACAATCTGAATCCATTGCACACCTGATAGAATATAGAAATTAAAGCATGATTTCGTATAATGTGGCCTGGAGAAAAAAATACAAGATAGCTAACTTCGAAAAATAATGATGGTTTGTGTGGTGACTATTGAAGCAATGGCTCATGGGATAATATTCTAGGCAAAAAAAAATCAATTATTGCGGCAAGAGACTTAGAGAATTGCTGAGTGTGATCATGGTACTTTGAGGAAGGTGTTAAGTCCAGAGGAGAAAAAGAACCTTTTACAGAATGTGAATGTGTGGTTGCTAATCAAAGAAGGTGCTCCGGGTCAGGGGGAAGGAAGGGGGTCATGCTTTTGAAGATGTAGTTCATTTTTCATGACCCAATCCATCATTTTATCGAAGGAGAGCCATAAATTGCTTTCTACACATTTAATGTTTCTGATGAACTCACAGAAAATGCTCATGCAGAAAATGGAAAAATTTGCATGTTTCCAGTGAGTTGAAAGAAAGTGAAAACTTGAAACAACTCTAAACACTTACAGAGCCCTGTGGAAATTTAAGTCAGCTCACTTACATAGTTACATGAAAACAAGTAGCTCATGTTGTGGTTATTAAACTTCTAACATGGTTGTTAGAACTTGACAGGAATATGGAAAAGTGTTTTCTTTTTAATGCATTAAATAAGTCATTACCAAAAAGAAAACAGTTTTCTAACAATCATTACCTCCAGTGGGCTTCGAACAATGTCTTAAATTCAGTTGTTAAGTTAACATTTTTTATTACGTTTTTTTCAAATATTTTGCTATTTAGCACACAAACCTGATAAGGTTAAACTTTGCAATAAACATGACTTGCTCTTTCAGTACTTGTATGAGCCCATGAAGATAAGTGCTAAACTCAGATTCACTTGTTGTATTCACATCCAGCACAATGCAGATACAACGCTCTTCTATGACTCCAAAAACTCGCCGACTGTAAGGAAAAGAAATGCTTTTGTTAGTAAGCTATCCTGTTTGTGGTAATCTAAGGCAAGTTGTCAGAGTATAAAAAGTAATATCAACTCTTTTGTTACCTTTCAGTTGTTAGCCATTCCAGTCGTCGTTTATAAAGCAATATGGCTTGCTTGAGTTGACTTTCAATCATGCAGAGTTTCTCCTTGCTAGCAACAAGCTGTTAAAAAAAATTGGAATGACCAACTCTTGAATGATGAATGTTTGAAGTTACAGATAGTCATGATCAAAGTACAGTGTAACCACTCAACAGCGGACTTCTTGTAATTGGTGCAAGAGTTAAACAATTGGCTTAAGAGAGGTACTTTATTCTTTAATGTTGGTTATTAAACTGTTTTAGTGACTGGAGCCAGCCTCTCCTTAAGAGGGGCATGTTTAAAACACAAAATGGCAAAATGACGTAATGGCACTACTGACAGCTAGCCTTAAAATTGCACTCCCGTTAGCCGGAATTGTGCTCTGGTTAGCCTATATAGCCCTCAGGTTAGCATAAATATCACTGGTTCAACACTGGTTACCTCACAATAATTGTAAGGGTTGACTCCTACAGTCTTGCCCATTAGGTGCCATTTTGACATTTCCCCATTTCATGTTTTAAACATGCCCCCTTAAGAGATCTGTTTTCTTACATGTATAAGACATGTCTGAGAGAAGAGATTCAACTGTTTTGACATGAAGAGGTCCTAGAGACAACTGGGACCTTAGATAGAGAAAAATATTGAGTGCTTCAGAAATCCTCAAAAATTGATCAAACTTAGCATAATTCTTAATTTGTCCTTACATTGTAGACAGTACCATCTCTGAATGGGACCTGAGTAAATAGCCCCTTGCAATATCTTGCACGCACAGGTTTCTTAAGAGGTCTTACATAATCTGCAAAAAGAACAGTAACAATAATGTTGAGCATAAACGTCTGTGTTAAACCATAGTTAATCAAGGGAAATGCTTATGAAACATGGCAAAGTCCTTTGTTGTATGTTTTTCTTTGCTATTTGGGGGGTTGATCCAGCACAAAGCCTGGCAAAATACAAAGGTGGTTATGTGTGTGCATACAACTAACCAATAGAAGCATTGTAATTAGGTAATTCATGCATAGTCAATAAGCATAAAACAAAAGATGTGCAGGGTCAAGGACCTTCCTAAATAAATCTTAGCCAGTCTGTTCAAAGCTTCTTTAATGTTAACCAGGCTTCTTAACCATTCCCTCAATTAACTATGTTCAAACTAAATGAAATTCTACAATCAATACTGAAATATCATATTAATGAGAAGTTTCACTCCTTACCATCTGAATGCCGAAATCCTATGGAGGGTAATATCTGACCCATGTCAAGCTTGTGCCTTTTAAGGCCATGGATCTAAAGTAAAAGGGTAAGTAAATGATGTTGACTTGTGCTGTTCCAGAAAATATCCATACTCTCCCCACAGAAGGGATTGGAATTTCTTGGGGGTGGGAGTGGCTTCATTAGAATTTCCAGGGGAGAGGGGAGGTCTAACTTTTCAAAAATCCCTTCCATGGAGGAGGTTTGGATATTTGATATTTTCTGGGACTACACGTACACATTTTAACAAAATAACAGTGAAAAAGGTTCTTATTCTATAAACACAAATGTTTGGTGGTCTTTTTGTTATCAGCTGACATAGTAGACACAACGTGCATACAAGGAGCTGTAGATATGTTAGGGATCCATATTTGCAATCATCCAGTTGTCCAGGCTGACTAAAAATCCCAAGGGCGACCAAAATGATACGAAAACTCATCCAGCGGACGAGTTTAGTTTGACTCTACCAGAAAAAAACATTTCTTAAAATTTTTCACAAGTCCCTTTCATTCTGACCACTTGTCTTCATTTGGAACTTTTAGAAACCAGAGAAAGAATTGCAGTTTTCTGTCATTTTCTGTCTTGGATGATGTGGTATTCTCCATGAATGAAATCATTGCAGGCTCAATTTTCATTTTGTCAACCGCTGATGCTCTGTACTGCATCTGCACCGGCAAAAACATGTGGCGTGATAACATCAGCTGTTTCGATCAGAATATTATTTAGCCATGATATCTACATGTACCTTGAGCCACTGAGATGTTGATAGAAGCATGCGCACATCAGGCTCCCAGTTACTTGTGTTTGGAGAATTTAGACGTTCACTTTTTGATGGGACTGCAGAGTCAAGGCTTCCATTACTTTGTTTCTTGGACACAGGAACAACTGTTCCTGCATTCCTTGCTGAGCCTTCAATGGGTCCTAAAAGTTCAGTATACGTGTATGTTAAAAAAGCACATGGAATATATAGACATTCAACATTATTGTATCCTAGCCATGTTAACAGCACTTGTAGGGAGAAGATAACAAATTTTCGGGCTTGCCAATTAATTTGATGTACTAGCCCGAAAATCATTCTCACTAGCCCCAAGAAAGTACACATCTCTTACAGCTGAATTTCCACAAAAATTTTCCCATGAAAATTCACTTGCCCATCAGGCAAGTGAGGGATAGAAATTGAATTGTCTCACTCAGCCTGACTGGAAAATTCACTGATAGCAATGGTCTCTAGAAGTCACCATAAGTCAATCTCCCCATTACTCAGTGAATAGAGCACCCAACCAATAACTGAAAGGTCATGGGGTATGATCCACCTAGGACTCAGATTGTTTTCTTTGTCTATGCTCACCAAATACCGAACATTTAATCTTTTGCATTTAGGATACCTTCAACATTACTGATGCTAGCAGTGTGCATCAGCATGCATCACACATGAACCTACTATGTGACCTAGCTTGCCATGTATCTCTCAGAGAAGGGTCACACACTTGAGATATACTGTAATTGGTGCATAGCTGATTCTCGTTGGGATGTTTCATTCCATCCAGTAATCTTGATTCAAGTTTGTAAAATGAAACAAACCACGTTTAGGCCCTTTTGCTTATATCTAGTATAGATTATTTAAACTTCCCTCAGATTTTTGGCTTCAGTATTCTTGCATAAAACAAAAAAAAACAAACGACCCAAATTCCAGACTTGTAATGACACAATTAAAACTTATTCAAAATTAATTAAAACTCGGTAGCGAGTTGCAGAATGGCATGCCTGCAATGACTAAATTTCTGCAAAGAGAATTAAGTAGATCATAAGCTGATACTAACAAACTTGATGCACTGCAATTTGCATAAGTCTCCATGTACGTTCAGTAGCTTCGACAATTTAAAATTCAATCAATGTGGGTTTGGAGAGCATGATCAAATGCAATTTCCAACCTAGGTGATTTAACTTGTTTTGCAGACAGGCCATTGTCATAATGTCAAGTACTCTTCTGATCAGACAGTACAACTTAATGGCTAGACTCTTGCAAAGTACACTGCAACGCTTGTAAACACAGCAATGAACAGAATCGAGTCATCTGGTAACACGCAAAATTTGTCCTCACCTGCCCCAGATCCACTGCCATGAGTGTGGCGAAAATTTTCGTACATCATAGTCACGGCCTCAGTCTCTGTTCATTTAAGTGTCATCATTCATTAAATCTACCGTATTTAAAACATTCTATAAAAAGATCTTGTGCCGGGTAGAAATCTGTATTCCCTCGTTGCTACACAAGCACCTTGTTTCCATCGTCTTCCACTTGTCTGCGGATGAACCAATCATGGAACCGAAGTTAAGTCACATGATCAAGCGTCAGCGGCTTTACTTGTGAAAAACAGATTCTTTGTGTATGCTGTGAACGTTTTGTAACTCCTTGTAGAGATCAAGTTTGTTGCTTAATTTTGGAGTTCGCTATATTTATACACACTTGTCCTAAACTTGCCACGAAAGTGTAACAGTCTTCGTTGCCGTATGAGTTACAGTGTAAGAAGTAGAGAGAAGGTTAGAGGACAAGTCAGAGTGGTATGTACATACAAGAGTGAACCTTTGTCGTGATCGTAGATGGCTGTCATAGTATTGTTTTGATCTACCGGTACAGGATCAAAAAGGTCGATCATTTATTACTCGATCGATTACAGCAGGTCTTTCCTTACCTCGTGCTCTGTCTCGCTGGACATTTCCAACAGCATGTTACTGAACAGTGTGAGCAGTGTATACCTTCCTATGCAATTTAAGGACACCAACATTTTACGCAAAACTTTATTGGCGTTCTTCCGTTCACCTCTCATATTAAAATAAAACCTTTAAGTTTATTTCAACATAGTTTATAGAAAGGTTCTCTAAAGAAGATCGACTTTTTATTGCAGATACACAACGTGAGCCCATTTGCCCCATTCATTCATTTTTTTCGGCATGGATTTCGATCGCGTTATTCCTCAAGACATCTCACCACAGCTCGACGACGATTCGGTGAAATACGAAGCTGGAAGCAAGCATGGAATAAAAGCACTCATGGTGATGGATGATCTGAGAAAACGCCAGCAGTTATGCGATGTCACGATCTGTGTGGGCAGCAAGAAACTCCATGTGCATCGCGTAGTTTTGGCCTCCTTCAGTTCGTACTTTCTCGCCATGTTTACGGGCGGTATGGCGGAAAGCCATGAAGAAAGCGTAACTTTGAAAGATGTCGACTGCAAAGCGGTTGAACTGCTCATTGATTTTGCCTACACCGGAAAGCTCGATATAACGATTGATACGGTACAGTCGCTGCTGTATGCTTCGTCGTTGTTCCAACTGACCGCAATTCAGAAAGAGTGCTCAAATTTTCTGCGTCGTCAACTTCATCCTTCGAACTGTCTTGGGATCCGCTCGATCGCGGACGCGCATTCCTGCACAGGCCTGTTCGAAGCCTCGGAGAAGTACATCCACGAACATTTTAACGATGTGGTACAGAATGAAGAGTTTCTTCTTCTGCCTCGAGATGACCTGGCCCTGTTACTGACCAGTGAAGAGCTCAATGTCGATTCTGAAGAGGACGTGTATAATGCGTTAATTGCGTGGGCGAGACAAAATGTCGAAGAGAGACAAACATTTTTGGCTGAACTTCTTGGGAAAATTCGCCTGCCTTCCTTGTCTCCTCATTTTTTGGTAGATCAAGTTGAAAAAGAAGAACTTATTCGTCAAGACATTGCGTGTAGGAATCTGTTGGACGAGGCAAAGAACTTCCACATGCTACCAGCTCGACGAAGTAAACTTGGTGGTCAAAAATCTCGACCAAGAAGGTCCACATTTGGAAGTCTATACAGCATTTGTGGCATGGATTCAACAGGTCATGCATTAAGATCTGTTGAGAGATACGACTTTCACAGTGGGAAAGTAAAGGATGTCTGTCCAATCAACACTCCACGCAGTGGCGTGGGTGTGGCTGTTCTTGATGGCAAGATTTATGCAGTGGGTGGACACGATGGATCAACATATCTAAATAGGTTAGAACAGAGCTATTTGTGTTTTTCAGCTCAGGAGAGCAGAAGTAACTCTCCTCTCTCTAAGTTTACTATGTACAGAGCTAAGTACTTCCAAGTACCCTACAGGTAGTACCTTCCAAGTTGAATTGGGGGTCGTGGGGAGGACAAGGGGGTAGGTGTGGGGTATTCTGCTGTTTTCTCAGCACTTTTACTGCAAACTAAATGACATAAATTGTGACCAAACTCTAAATTTAAGGTCTGTGACATGAGATGATTACATCGTGATCGTGGTATTGGAGTTATGAGATCTTGATCAGCTCTGTCAAGCATGAAACCATCAAACGACACTCCTGACATAGCTGATCAGGAACTCATTATCATTTCCCCAAGCTTCACATTTGCCATAAGAGAAATATGTTTGAAGTCTGTGAAAGCTTTGGTCGTTGTTGATGGAGTCACTGGATTGAATATTGTTGGGGGTATTAAGTTGTCGCATGTTGTTTCAAATCTACAGCGTGGAATGCTATGATACCAGTACAAAGCAGTGGAAGTATGTTGCGTCCATGAGTCATCCACGTCGTTATGTTGCTGCTGCTGNCTGGGACCTTAGATAGAGAAAAATATTGAGTGCTTCAGAAATCCTCAAAAATTGATCAAACTTAGCATAATTCTTAATTTGTCCTTACATTGTAGACAGTACCATCTCTGAATGGGACCTGAGTAAATAGCCCCTTGCAATATCTTGCACGCACAGGTTTCTTAAGAGGTCTTACATAATCTGCAAAAAGAACAGTAACAATAATGTTGAGCATAAACGTCTGTGTTAAACCATAGTTAATCAAGGGAAATGCTTATGAAACATGGCAAAGTCCTTTGTTGTATGTTTTTCTTTGCTATTTGGGGGGTTGATCCAGCACAAAGCCTGGCAAAATACAAAGGTGGTTATGTGTGTGCATACAACTAACCAATAGAAGCATTGTAATTAGGTAATTCATGCATAGTCAATAAGCATAAAACAAAAGATGTGCAGGGTCAAGGACCTTCCTAAATAAATCTTAGCCAGTCTGTTCAAAGCTTCTTTAATGTTAACCAGGCTTCTTAACCATTCCCTCAATTAACTATGTTCAAACTAAATGAAATTCTACAATCAATACTGAAATATCATATTAATGAGAAGTTTCACTCCTTACCATCTGAATGCCGAAATCCTATGGAGGGTAATATCTGACCCATGTCAAGCTTGTGCCTTTTAAGGCCATGGATCTAAAGTAAAAGGGTAAGTAAATGATGTTGACTTGTGCTGTTCCAGAAAATATCCATACTCTCCCCACAGAAGGGATTGGAATTTCTTGGGGGTGGGAGTGGCTTCATTAGAATTTCCAGGGGAGAGGGGAGGTCTAACTTTTCAAAAATCCCTTCCATGGAGGAGGTTTGGATATTTGATATTTTCTGGGACTACACGTACACATTTTAACAAAATAACAGTGAAAAAGGTTCTTATTCTATAAACACAAATGTTTGGTGGTCTTTTTGTTATCAGCTGACATAGTAGACACAACGTGCATACAAGGAGCTGTAGATATGTTAGGGATCCATATTTGCAATCATCCAGTTGTCCAGGCTGACTAAAAATCCCAAGGGCGACCAAAATGATACGAAAACTCATCCAGCGGACGAGTTTAGTTTGACTCTACCAGAAAAAAACATTTCTTAAAATTTTTCACAAGTCCCTTTCATTCTGACCACTTGTCTTCATTTGGAACTTTTAGAAACCAGAGAAAGAATTGCAGTTTTCTGTCATTTTCTGTCTTGGATGATGTGGTATTCTCCATGAATGAAATCATTGCAGGCTCAATTTTCATTTTGTCAACCGCTGATGCTCTGTACTGCATCTGCACCGGCAAAAACATGTGGCGTGATAACATCAGCTGTTTCGATCAGAATATTATTTAGCCATGATATCTACATGTACCTTGAGCCACTGAGATGTTGATAGAAGCATGCGCACATCAGGCTCCCAGTTACTTGTGTTTGGAGAATTTAGACGTTCACTTTTTGATGGGACTGCAGAGTCAAGGCTTCCATTACTTTGTTTCTTGGACACAGGAACAACTGTTCCTGCATTCCTTGCTGAGCCTTCAATGGGTCCTAAAAGTTCAGTATACGTGTATGTTAAAAAAGCACATGGAATATATAGACATTCAACATTATTGTATCCTAGCCATGTTAACAGCACTTGTAGGGAGAAGATAACAAATTTTCGGGCTTGCCAATTAATTTGATGTACTAGCCCGAAAATCATTCTCACTAGCCCCAAGAAAGTACACATCTCTTACAGCTGAATTTCCACAAAAATTTTCCCATGAAAATTCACTTGCCCATCAGGCAAGTGAGGGATAGAAATTGAATTGTCTCACTCAGCCTGACTGGAAAATTCACTGATAGCAATGGTCTCTAGAAGTCACCATAAGTCAATCTCCCCATTACTCAGTGAATAGAGCACCCAACCAATAACTGAAAGGTCATGGGGTATGATCCACCTAGGACTCAGATTGTTTTCTTTGTCTATGCTCACCAAATACCGAACATTTAATCTTTTGCATTTAGGATACCTTCAACATTACTGATGCTAGCAGTGTGCATCAGCATGCATCACACATGAACCTACTATGTGACCTAGCTTGCCATGTATCTCTCAGAGAAGGGTCACACACTTGAGATATACTGTAATTGGTGCATAGCTGATTCTCGTTGGGATGTTTCATTCCATCCAGTAATCTTGATTCAAGTTTGTAAAATGAAACAAACCACGTTTAGGCCCTTTTGCTTATATCTAGTATAGATTATTTAAACTTCCCTCAGATTTTTGGCTTCAGTATTCTTGCATAAAACAAAAAAAAACAAACGACCCAAATTCCAGACTTGTAATGACACAATTAAAACTTATTCAAAATTAATTAAAACTCGGTAGCGAGTTGCAGAATGGCATGCCTGCAATGACTAAATTTCTGCAAAGAGAATTAAGTAGATCATAAGCTGATACTAACAAACTTGATGCACTGCAATTTGCATAAGTCTCCATGTACGTTCAGTAGCTTCGACAATTTAAAATTCAATCAATGTGGGTTTGGAGAGCATGATCAAATGCAATTTCCAACCTAGGTGATTTAACTTGTTTTGCAGACAGGCCATTGTCATAATGTCAAGTACTCTTCTGATCAGACAGTACAACTTAATGGCTAGACTCTTGCAAAGTACACTGCAACGCTTGTAAACACAGCAATGAACAGAATCGAGTCATCTGGTAACACGCAAAATTTGTCCTCACCTGCCCCAGATCCACTGCCATGAGTGTGGCGAAAATTTTCGTACATCATAGTCACGGCCTCAGTCTCTGTTCATTTAAGTGTCATCATTCATTAAATCTACCGTATTTAAAACATTCTATAAAAAGATCTTGTGCCGGGTAGAAATCTGTATTCCCTCGTTGCTACACAAGCACCTTGTTTCCATCGTCTTCCACTTGTCTGCGGATGAACCAATCATGGAACCGAAGTTAAGTCACATGATCAAGCGTCAGCGGCTTTACTTGTGAAAAACAGATTCTTTGTGTATGCTGTGAACGTTTTGTAACTCCTTGTAGAGATCAAGTTTGTTGCTTAATTTTGGAGTTCGCTATATTTATACACACTTGTCCTAAACTTGCCACGAAAGTGTAACAGTCTTCGTTGCCGTATGAGTTACAGTGTAAGAAGTAGAGAGAAGGTTAGAGGACAAGTCAGAGTGGTATGTACATACAAGAGTGAACCTTTGTCGTGATCGTAGATGGCTGTCATAGTATTGTTTTGATCTACCGGTACAGGATCAAAAAGGTCGATCATTTATTACTCGATCGATTACAGCAGGTCTTTCCTTACCTCGTGCTCTGTCTCGCTGGACATTTCCAACAGCATGTTACTGAACAGTGTGAGCAGTGTATACCTTCCTATGCAATTTAAGGACACCAACATTTTACGCAAAACTTTATTGGCGTTCTTCCGTTCACCTCTCATATTAAAATAAAACCTTTAAGTTTATTTCAACATAGTTTATAGAAAGGTTCTCTAAAGAAGATCGACTTTTTATTGCAGATACACAACGTGAGCCCATTTGCCCCATTCATTCATTTTTTTCGGCATGGATTTCGATCGCGTTATTCCTCAAGACATCTCACCACAGCTCGACGACGATTCGGTGAAATACGAAGCTGGAAGCAAGCATGGAATAAAAGCACTCATGGTGATGGATGATCTGAGAAAACGCCAGCAGTTATGCGATGTCACGATCTGTGTGGGCAGCAAGAAACTCCATGTGCATCGCGTAGTTTTGGCCTCCTTCAGTTCGTACTTTCTCGCCATGTTTACGGGCGGTATGGCGGAAAGCCATGAAGAAAGCGTAACTTTGAAAGATGTCGACTGCAAAGCGGTTGAACTGCTCATTGATTTTGCCTACACCGGAAAGCTCGATATAACGATTGATACGGTACAGTCGCTGCTGTATGCTTCGTCGTTGTTCCAACTGACCGCAATTCAGAAAGAGTGCTCAAATTTTCTGCGTCGTCAACTTCATCCTTCGAACTGTCTTGGGATCCGCTCGATCGCGGACGCGCATTCCTGCACAGGCCTGTTCGAAGCCTCGGAGAAGTACATCCACGAACATTTTAACGATGTGGTACAGAATGAAGAGTTTCTTCTTCTGCCTCGAGATGACCTGGCCCTGTTACTGACCAGTGAAGAGCTCAATGTCGATTCTGAAGAGGACGTGTATAATGCGTTAATTGCGTGGGCGAGACAAAATGTCGAAGAGAGACAAACATTTTTGGCTGAACTTCTTGGGAAAATTCGCCTGCCTTCCTTGTCTCCTCATTTTTTGGTAGATCAAGTTGAAAAAGAAGAACTTATTCGTCAAGACATTGCGTGTAGGAATCTGTTGGACGAGGCAAAGAACTTCCACATGCTACCAGCTCGACGAAGTAAACTTGGTGGTCAAAAATCTCGACCAAGAAGGTCCACATTTGGAAGTCTATACAGCATTTGTGGCATGGATTCAACAGGTCATGCATTAAGATCTGTTGAGAGATACGACTTTCACAGTGGGAAAGTAAAGGATGTCTGTCCAATCAACACTCCACGCAGTGGCGTGGGTGTGGCTGTTCTTGATGGCAAGATTTATGCAGTGGGTGGACACGATGGATCAACATATCTAAATAGGTTAGAACAGAGCTATTTGTGTTTTTCAGCTCAGGAGAGCAGAAGTAACTCTCCTCTCTCTAAGTTTACTATGTACAGAGCTAAGTACTTCCAAGTACCCTACAGGTAGTACCTTCCAAGTTGAATTGGGGGTCGTGGGGAGGACAAGGGGGTAGGTGTGGGGTATTCTGCTGTTTTCTCAGCACTTTTACTGCAAACTAAATGACATAAATTGTGACCAAACTCTAAATTTAAGGTCTGTGACATGAGATGATTACATCGTGATCGTGGTATTGGAGTTATGAGATCTTGATCAGCTCTGTCAAGCATGAAACCATCAAACGACACTCCTGACATAGCTGATCAGGAACTCATTATCATTTCCCCAAGCTTCACATTTGCCATAAGAGAAATATGTTTGAAGTCTGTGAAAGCTTTGGTCGTTGTTGATGGAGTCACTGGATTGAATATTGTTGGGGGTATTAAGTTGTCGCATGTTGTTTCAAATCTACAGCGTGGAATGCTATGATACCAGTACAAAGCAGTGGAAGTATGTTGCGTCCATGAGTCATCCACGTCGTTATGTTGCTGCTGCTGTCCTGAATGGTTTGCTGTACGCCATCGGTGGCTATGATGGCTTTTCAGTCCTGGACTCAGTTGAGGTGTATGATCCCAGACTGGATCAATGGAAACGAGTGGCCAACATGTCCAATGCACGCAGGCATGTTGCGGTTGGTGTTTTGGATAAAAAGGATGCAGGGGATGATACTTCTGGCCCAGGTACTGATTTAATTAAAATCTCCAGTCAGACCATGTTGTAGTGTACGTTAGTTCGTGAGAATTTGAGACAGTTATCCAAACCCTCCACTGCATGTCAGGGTTGTATAACTTTCAAGAGTTCTCCCAACCTCCCATGTCTTTAGATGAGGCTATGTAAACCCAGCAAAAGTACTCTGTTGCATTTATAAAATATTTAACTCAAAATTACATGGGAATCTAAAATGTCACAATCGTGTTTACACACTCTCATCTAAACACACCTGTCATGAACCAATGAGAGCATGTGCAGTATCTCAGTTATTTTATATTTTAGGCTACCTGTATGCTGTGGGTGGTCATGACGGAATAACTTACTTAAAGACAGTGGAGAAGTACGACCCAGAGACAAATGCTTGGACTTCTGTTGCATCCATGGGGGCACGGAGAGGTGGTGTGGGCGTAGCTACCCTTGGAGGATGCTTGTATGCCACAGGAGGCTATGATGGAACATCTAACCTCAATACATCAGGTAACCCAGCACACTTGAGCGGTCATGGGTGGCTTTGATACAAAAAATTATATGTGATGTTCTTGATGTGTAACTACACATAGTGAGGAAATAAACTCAGCCGGTGTTCTGACAAGATAAGCCACAACTGCTACATGATTTGACAAATTAACAAAAAACTTGTCTACTCCTAACCCCCAACTGAAGGTGACACTCATATCTGTTGACTCCTTGCAGTTCCTTATTGAAGCCCCGTCTAACCTTAAACCCTTCCATTAATTGTACAACTTAGAGTCTCCTTGTAGAAGATGCAGATCACTGCACTGCTTATTTACATGTACCAACATGACTGTAATTAGTACAATAAAAGAATGCAGAGTTGTAAAAAAGAATGAGTAGAAATTAGATACAGTTGAGGTGTTGTGGATGGCACCATATACATGTATGTACAACACAATCTTATGCAGTGCAATACAGTGCAATATAGAAAGAAATGTGTTTCCCAGCTTTTTCTGTAGAGGGACACTTTGTGACCATTACGTCACATAACGTTTAGTCTCGAAACTGGTGGAAACCAATCAGAAGACGTGTTGTCAAAGCTAAGTTGTTTACTCCTTGCTCATGTTGGAGTATTGTGTTCCTTGAACATGCACTGAACTACATGCTGGCCTGTCTACATTTCCAAGGGGGGAGAGGGGCGACTTAGTTACACAGAACAATATTCTAGGGGATTGTCTCAAATTGGTTAAAATATAGCAGTTATCTCGTTTTTGTTTGTTTGTTTTAGAACGCTATTACCCAGATGAAGACAGATGGGCTTTTGTTGCCCCAATGAGCGTGTGTCGCAGTGGACATGGTGTGGGAGTTGTGAATGGGTGTCTGTATGCACTGGGTGGGCATGACGGTGTGTCATACCGAAACAAGGTGGAATACTTTGACCCACAAGTTGGTGAATGGACAACTGTTGGCCCCATGGGAATGTGCAAAGCTGTGGCTGGTGTGGCTGTTATAAAGGAACATTAAATCTTAATCTTTATAGGTTTATGCACAACATTCCTTATGGAGTCAAAGCAGCTGAACTGTGGGAATGAACAGAGCTTGTTAATGTTTTGGTCAGTTCAGTGAGAGTGCCAAGGAAGGCACAGTGAATGACTAGCTGCTTCCCCAAAGAGGGTTAAGGCTATCATTCCATTTATTTATCTATATATACCACATGTTCACCAGATGGAACAAAGAATTTATTTGTGAAGTGGGCATTTCATTTAAGCTAACCTTACACGGTTGCCCATTCGGGGCCTCGATGCCTCCCCATCCAAAGAAAACAAAAATAAAGGGGGTTAGTCTATCATGCCTTGCATGTTATTAGCCACGTCTTTGTCAGATGGAAAGAGAAATTTAATTATGAAGTGGTCAACCACACCCATCAGGTACTTGAACTCCCCCCCCCCCCCCCCCCCCCCCCCCCCC